TACTGGTGAGAAGGTGGAGTTTGAATTCAAGCCTATTGACAGTATTACTACCACTAATGGTAATACTAAAGATGATGCATCTACTAGCACCGCACCTCTCGTCGAGCCACAACAAGAGTATTCCATTGCTATGGATCGTCCTTGGAGGACAATTAAAAAACCTGCTAGGTACGCTAGTGACGATGAAACCAATTTGATTGCTTATGCTCTTTCAGTCGCATAGGAAGTTGATGGTGATCCATCCTGCTATTCTGAAGCTTTTCCTATTGCTAAGTTCAAGCAGTGCTTGAGTTCAGTCGACTGTTCCAGTTGTTAATTCCCACAGTGAATTTGATCCAAGGTGGAGATTGTTAGGATAATAATTTTTTGTGGCTCAATTCCATAATATTGTGTGGCTCACATTCATTAAGACCACGCATCACCTTGCTGCATGTCTTCACGATGCCTCCGACTTCGTCGCTCATGCCGCAGCTCTCGCAATTTTCAATGTATAAATAGAGCTTTAGTTCCTTGTTTTCAATGTACTCATCACATCAATTCATTATTGAATTCTATTTCCTTCTTTTAAGTTTCAAACGTATGCATTAATATATATATATATATATATATATATATATATATATATATATATATATATATATATATATATATATATATATATTCCCATTTTATCAATTCTATTGTCATTTATATATTTTCCTTATTATTTAACTTCTATAATTCTCAATTTTCGATTCTTCGCTTCCGTATTATTCAGCTATATTCCTAACTGGTTAGTATTATGTTCTTTTTCAAAACCTAAGTTAGTTTATATTTGTAGCCCATTAAGCAAAGCCCCTTGTCATTCTTCAAAGAGTTGACGTAGTAAACAGAAGGAGACGGCAGTGGCAGTCAATTAACTAGAGAATCGGACAGCATCGTAACGGAAGTCTCCAATGACCGGAGCAATTTTAGTGAGGAAACGTTAAACCTGAATAGTATAAAAGGGGGTGCGATAATGGCAGGGGGGCATCAATTTCATCCTCAGACCAATTCTGGTCGGAGATCGGTGGTGACATATTTTGGTGAGCAGCAGCTTGGTTCCGGTCGGCGACTTCGATCGACGCAGCAACCTAGCTTTGGAAGGTGGCAGCAGCAATCTGGCAAGCTTAAATTAGTTTTTGTGTTTTGTTTTCCTTTCCTTCAATTCGTATTGTGTAGTGCTCTCTGCTTCAATTATTTAATTTCCCAAATTTGCTACACTGTTTTACTACTTCAAGTCCCAAAGTATTTAGCCTGTTTTTAATTAATGATTTTAGTTGTTGATTGTTGATTTTAATTATTTTATTATTGACTTTGATTTTAATTTCCAAATTCCTAATTTTTTCCCACTTTGATTGAAAGTTGATATTCCAGTTCTTGGTAATTCATTTGTTTACCTTTGTAAGTTTTGATTCAATTACTATGTATTTAAGTTGACCCTGATCTTTGATATTTGTTTTTAGTACTTTAAAATTCTTAAGTTAATTTTTTTAATTTCAAGATTATAAATTGTATCGTACAATTTCCTGTGGGTTCGACCCTTGCCTTTGCACACTACCACTCCAACTGACTCGTGCACTTGCAAGGACATATATTAAAATTGTCCATCACTATCCCAAGAGAAAGATCACTCCTCCTCACACCAAAGAAATAAATATAAGAAAGAGCCTCATGCCACCACGAAAACCTCTTACGAGAGATGCTGTTAAACGTCAGCAAGAGACATCAAGAAAAATGAGAGAGGAACAGGGTGAGCTATACCCGGAAACAGTCTTAGAGCTCCTTTGGAGATATCATCTAACGAAGAACTATATCCTCACAAAGAAGGCTTTTTAGCGGATGAATCAGATGACTCAACACCTATTGGAAATCAACACCAAAGAACACTACCTGTCGCTAGGACGAAAGGATCATCGAGGATGTTTCCCTCCGAAGCTGACATGAAAAATCCTCTTTACGATAGAGACTACATGATGTTTCTTCGTGAAGCCGGATCTGATTCTGAAAAAGATGGCTTCGAAACTTCCACTACTTCAGGCGAAACTACGCTCTTAGCTCTATCTGACCACACAACTTTCAAACTCTACAAGAAATCCCTATCTAAGGAAAAAGCCAGTTCCAGCTCGAAAGGACAGACCAGCTCGAAAGGAAAGACTAAGAAGTAAACTTCTGCTGGAAAATGGTAGTTTGCTAGAGTTGTTTCGTTCAGAGTTAGTTTGTGGTTATCTAATCTATCGTGTTGATGTATCTGATGTTTCATGCATATGTCTATATGTCCTTATGAAATAAAAGTCTATGGTTTCGTGTGTTGAGTTGCCTCGTGTAATTATACTTGCGATCTTTCGGCTCTCACCTTGAAACTCTACATACTCAACACATCATCATGAAACTTTATTTGTTTCAGGATATCGTGATAAATTCGTCAAGGATGCATGCTATATTCTAAAATTGATGATTATTTGAAGAGATTTCTCTCCATCTAGACCTTGATCCCTAACCGTTCGATGCAATTACTGGGAGAAGATCATGTGGCCGAGAAAAGCGGTCCACAAACCCACGTTTTTGCATGCGTTGTCAGTTGAAAGGACGGGCATTTAATGGCCTTGTCCTATACTCAAGTACTTTCTCTCTCATCATTAATTGAGATATGATGAATATTGATCTGATACTTGCCTTATCAGATGAATTTGTACAGAGTTTTACCCCAAAGAATAAAAGTGGTCAAATATTCCAAGGGAGAAGTTCATTCAAAATCCGGGTAACTCATATTGATGATCCGACCCGGTGCCACTACACATACCCTATTTAACCTAAAACTCCTCACCTACAAACCCTTTTCTTCCCTTATACGTTTCTCTGCGTCACCATTCTCCACAAGAGAACCATTTTCACTCATCTTCATTCCTCAAATTCTTCTACCTTTCCATCTCCAATCAAATGGCAAAGAAAACCAGATTAAACGCTTCCAACTAGGAGCCTGAAACCAGTATAAAGAAAGATCTCCCTTCCTACCTGATTACAAACGAACGATTTATTCGATCAAGGGAACAACTTGTGCTCTGTGGATTTGTGTGGGATGCCCATGGCTTTTGCCAACTTGTTCTTGACAAGGAGTTTGGAGAAAAATTCATAGCTTTGCTCAACGAATGTGGTCTTTACAACTTTGTCACCCACGTCTACAAGTTTTTCTTTGCACTGGATGTCACCTAGTTTTATCTCAATGCAAAGGTTTCTTCTGATGCTACGGCCATTACTTCTGAGGTAAACGGGACGGCAATATCTCTGACCAGTAAGGACATCCAAGAAGCCTTAAAGTTTCCAGAAAGAGATGATACTTACCACTCCAACTTCTCTCGGCACACTTTTGATCAACAGGCATTCTACGATAGCATCCGTAATGCCTACTCATCTAAAGAAATCGAATGGCCGTTGAAGAAAAAGTCCTTCAAACTCGATTATGAGTTTACAGTGGATATCTTCAACAAAATTGTAGAGCACAAGACCTCGGGGACGGATGATGTTTCGAAAGATAAACTAAAAATGCTCCATGCATTCCTGAATGGTTTTAAAGTTGATTGGTCGAAAGTTGTCTTCGACTTTCTAAGACTAAGCGTGACCTCTGGAAAGACGAAAGAAGGCGACATAAGGCGAAAAGTTGGTTTTAGATTTATGATTGGTCATCTCCTGAACCATAAAAGGGTCATTCTTAGAGAAGGGAGCCCTCCTGGTCCGAAGGTTTATCACATGAAGTCTAAACCTCCCGGTTATGACAAACAGCGAGCTTTAGAAATGGGAGTGACTATAGTTGTTCCAACTGCTCAACCTGAAAGGAAGTCAAAACGAAAGAAGGGATCTGATACTGAACAACCAGAGAAGAAGAGACAAAAGTAGATGGTGAAGGAATAGAAGAAATCAGTCTTGGTCGAAACAACCTCTAATCCCTCACCAACACATCTCCAAGTTGCACCACCCGCCAGTGATCCGAAAGAAGCGGCAAAGAAAAGAGCATTTGACAAACAAAAGTTTGTAATGAAACCTTCCTCGAAAACCCGAAAGATAAGTAGCTCTTCATCTAAATCAACTCAGACTAGGCAAACCTCAAAGGACAATAGTTATGAAGACGACAGTTAAGAAATCAGTCGAACCGCACAAGCCAAAGAAAGATTCAAGCCAACTCTTGAGAAGGCTCAAAGAAAACAATTAGAAGTTACCCCAAGTCCTGCTGCTCCTGAAAAACCATGTTCCAAGGAAAGAACGACTTCTCCCGAACATGTCGCTCAGGGGGAAGGAAGCACAAGCTGTCCACCAACAGTGACGCAATCTTCAGTTCTTAAACAAGCACTTGCCTTAGTCGGAAAGAACAAGGCATCTCTTGCACAAAAATCTGCTGAGCCAAAGATGAATGTAAATCTCCTCCCACAAGAATCTGGCTTGCCAGAAGAGACGAGAGAAGTGATCAACAAGCAAAATGACAATGTCCTTACACAAGAATCTACTGCAGCAGAACAGGTCGAAACGATTCTGACACAAGAACCTGCGGGAGTAGATAAGGACGAAAGTTTGCCACCTCCTTCAAAGGATCAGTTAAGTCTCCCACAAGAACCTGGTTACCAGGGGAGACGAGAGAAATGATCAATGTGCCGAATGCCAACCCTCATCCTTCACCAGATCAAATTCTTCAACAGACCATCACGGTTGACTTTCACCGAGTGTTGCAATGGCAAAAATGGCGAACCTCATCTCTCGATTCATTATTAGAGAGATTTGATACAATGAGGAATGAAGAGCTGTTTGCTCTTGAGTGGCTTGGAACTCAAGATTTCTATGATGTTATGCGAGTTAAAACCATCAATCCGACCTACTCATACAAGATGAGAAACAGGAATCTTGCGAAAGGAAAAGCCCTGATTAGTTTCGACATCTGAAAACTGCCACTTGATCCAACTTTTGAAGCCGAAGTAAAGGAACTCAGAGAAGCTATGCGACTGTCCAAGATCAAGACTGAGCTTGAAAAGCTGCATCAGAATGACCCCGAATGCAGTACGAGCAAGAAGAGAAAGACCAAAGATAGGCTCAGTGTTGAACTCCTCAATGAAGAAGTACGAAAAGATGATGCAAAAACCATGCAAATTGACAAGGGAAATGATGATGAAGGTGATCATGAACCAACTACAGACGACAAAGAGAATAACAATGATGTACCGCTTGAAGCAGGAGAACACGAGGAAGAGGAAGAAGATGAAAGAGATAATGAGGAAGAGAAAGAAGAAGACGAAGAAGAAGAGGGAAATAATGACACTGATCGGGACAACAGTGATGACGAAGCAAGTGATAAAGATAATGATGATGACGATGATCCTGATCACTCAGAAGCTAATGTAATACAAGACACCGTTCAGGAATCCGAAGGGAACTCTGAGCCACATAATGGTCACCAAGAAACTACACCTTGTGGTCAGAATGATCCTTCGAATGAAAAGCACGGCTCGAGTTTGAGATCAACTAGTGATGGCAAAACGGATGCATCACTTAGTGCGAGTCATAACAACTCCAGTCGAAAGGTTAGAAGTGTTCAAAACTCATATGCTATTGAGCTCTCACAAACTGAAGCAAGGGAAATTGTGTCACTTTTGAAACAACACCAAGAAGAGACTCGGTTAAGCTGTGAGTGGATACAAGCCAAACAAAAGCTTGACAATCAGAAACTTGATGACTTATCCATAAACATAAATCATGTTTTGGAACGTTTGTCCACAATCCAAACCAGTCAAGATACTCTGGGACTAAGTCAGCAAAATCAGCTTCTTGAAAAGATTATCAAAGAACAACATTCTCTCAAGCACACAACCTTCGGTCTCAAGGAGAGAGTTGATCTTGCATGCTCCAAAATTGACACCGCCAGTGATAACATCTTCAAATCTTGAAATTTGTCAGGGAAATAACCGTCGTGGCTAACAAGCTCTTGAAGTCCTATGACCCGGCCTATGATGATGCCAAAAAGGGGGGAAAGAGCAACAAGAAAGATGATGATGATGAGGACGAAAGCAGAAGAGAAGGCCCTCAAAACAGACAAGGCGAAAGGAAAGAAAGAGAGGATCATACCGAAATTTCAACAATTATACCTCCTCGTGCCTCCAAATCAAGCCAACCACCTCCCTCGAGATCCCATCACCACTCCTTAAGGCCCCGACAATCCTATGGCTTCAAATCTGATTACATATTTCAGGGATTCACACACATAGAAAAGAAAAACCTTCGTCAAAGATTGAAGCGCGACAGTTTGGTACATGGATGCTACACGAAACTTCTTGAATTACAAGGAATATGAGGAAGGAAGTGGAAAGAGATTTGAAGGTCGAAACATGCCTACCTGGTTAAAGAAGAAAGATAACTACACAAGACAAGAGTATCAAAGGAAGAAAAATGCAGAGATTAATCGAGCAAATGACAAACTTCGTCTTGAACAAGAAGAAGCCGAGAAAGAGAAAGAACAAGATATCATCTACTTCCAAGAGATACAAGAAAAAATATGGGATGTCTCAACAGTTGGAAAAGATGCTGATCCAGGCACAAAGTACAATGTCGTGTTCAAAATACATGAAGAATTAGGCAAGAATTATGTGGAAGGAATGAATTTAATTGAGCTCGTGTCATGGTGGAATCTCAACGTTGTTCCTGGACAGAACGTACTTGAAGCCTACACTAACTACATGAACTATAATCTATCATAAAAGTATGCCGAATTGGCTCGATCCAATCCTGTCCGAACTTTCATAAGCCAAATCAACAATGACCTAAAAATTCAGAAAATGCTCAAAGATCAGAAGGCTCAAGAAGACAAAGAAAGAGAGGAAGCAGCGTTGCAGAAGCAGAAACTTTTGAATATGTAATTGCTTTGATAAGAATTTTTGTAACCGAATGATTTTCATTATGAAATATGTCTCTTTGCAGGTTATATTGTGTATTGTTTTCAATTATCCTTTAAAAGACTTTTTGTAAACTCTTCTTTAAGGCTGCTTTGTAATGAAAATCCTTTAACGGATATCTTTCAGCCTAATAACAAGAGTATAGGTTTTGACATCATCAAAAATTGGGAAATTGTTAGGAACAATTATATTTAGATTTTGATGATACCAATCTCACTAGGATCGTAGACCCCTCTTTTTAAATTTCTTTTTCTAAGAACTTTCGTGTTGGATGAAAGCTATAGCAACTCACCATGTGATTCGGTTAAGTAGCATACATACACGAATCTGAGTTGTGTTTAGTAGTTTAGGTCTACGAGAAGAAGTGAAGAAAAAGAGAAGACCGAGAGAACAACATAGACCGAAAGATGGAAGGGTCTAGCTCTCGTGTAAACATCAAATGATAAAGAAAATCATTTGATCAGCAAAGACAACGAAAGATAAAGACAATCTTTCGTATAGCTCCCCCGAGACCATTAAGTCTAAGACATACTTAAATAGACAAATTCAATACACAAGAAAAGATCGAGAATGTTGTATATGTCTCACAGTTGGGCAATCATCCTAGACAAAAGGAGTCCTAGGAATGATATTCACATAATCAAGGAGCATAAAATGAGTAGTACTTCTTGTCAGAGAAAAAGGACAAAAACCACAATGTTTTTTGACAACAACGGCTACACAGTACAGCCGCATTAAATGCTCCATGCCCAATCGTTTTTACACACTGGTTAATAGGTTTGAAATTCATCTCCCTCCAACGGATGAATTTTTCCTCACCTATAAATACCCCTCTTCATCACCAAAGAAGATGCTAGTTGTTCAACTGATTCTATCCTAAGAAAAGCTCTTCAAACAAAGATCACCTTAAAAAGCTTTTCGTAACTAGTGTTTGTGATTGTGAAATTTTCAAAGAAATTCATCCAGATTCATACTTCACAATCCTCAAAGAAGTTTTGCATTCTTATAAGAAGATTCATCCGATCATCAAGTCAAGACTTCAAGCTGTTGGAGAAACACATCAACACCATCCAACACTCAACTCTGAAGAAGAAGTTGATAAAGGCGGAGTAAACTCTAGGAGTTGAAAAACCTTCCAAGTAGCTGTCCAGCTTAGTGATCAAGGAAGCAAGCTTGAGTAGTTTGTACTATGAGTGATAGTGTAAACCCTTTCACGAGTTGCGAAAGAAGAGTGAGGAGTAGGCTTAGTTAATAGCCGAACCACTATAAAAATCTCTCTCTCCATCTCTCTTTACTTTCGTGCAACTATTATCTGGCATTGCATGCATAACGACCACATATTAAACTTTCATAACAAAACCGTGCAAAGTTCATCTTAAAACAAACATTGGATTTCCGCTGTGCATAACCCCGAAAGGAGTTTAGTTTGAAAAATCGATTAGAGTCTATTCACCCCCCCCCCCCCCCCACCCTCTAGACTCTCTTTCGACCCTACCGGGACCAACATGATTGATTATTACTTATGAGAAAAAATTATAATATATACTTATGATAAAAAAAATGTTATGCTTTTGATTAAAAAATGTAATACTTTTAAGAGAAAAATACATTTTTTAGTCCCTCATGTTTTATTGTTGCAATGTGCACCCCTAACTCTTTAAAAAAGTTACGATTTTAACCCCTTGATCAACTAACTTCGTTAGAGTATATGCAAGAATTCAAAATAGAACTCTAGTACAATATTTTTTTTATTTAAAAGACACGTGCAAAGATATATTTTACCATAGTTATACAAATTTTAAAGTTTTTCATAAGATATCCATCTTTTAAACATGATGAAGCATTCAAGGGGCGTGTATACTGGAGCAATGTGGCCCGATCCCTGTTACAAAATATGAAATTAGGCTTATACACAAACAATATATCTTGAACTAGTAAACAAAAGATGAGTAAATTATCACCTTGATTTTGGCATATGTCATGTTGTTAGAGAAGGTCCTTGTATAGCTACATGACAATTGAATGATTTTTGTTAGTTTTTCTTATACTTCATATATATATCATAATAAATCTATAGTGTATTTTATAACATACCCAACAATTTGATTGTTCATAAACCATGGTCGCCAATCATCAATTATAGAATAACCCAATGACTTTGTCCATGCTTCAGTTGAAAGTGAGCATACAAACAAATCATGATCCCCACTGAAAAACATAAAACTTTTACTTTAATTTAGATTAGTAAAAATTAAAACAATCTTTAAGTAAATATATATCTTGAACATATCTTGCAAATGTTGGTCATGCATGTGAGATATTAAAAATTTTAATATAACAAGTACAACAACCAAACTATAATATCAAAATTAATTACATCATATTTAAATAAAAGTAAATTCTATAATGTCGAAAAATACCATGGCTACTAGTATGAAAAGAAATGGGAAATTACTAGTTGATCACATCTCTTCTGATTGTATAGATTTGATGATTGATTGACTTAGCAATAAAGTTTTGTATGATTTTTACATTTTTTTTTTGTCTTTATAGATTTTCTAGGAATAAAGAATTACACTTACAGTTCATTTAGAAATACGAAAACTATTTCATAGAAAATAATTTTTAAAAACGACTCATTCTTTGAAAAATAATTTTATTTTTTAATGTTTAGTTAAAAGTCAAATTTTTTTTTTTTTTTAATTTGGTTGAATGTCAAACTTTTGCAATTTTTCTGTTTCTTTCTTTTTAAACAGTTATTTCTTATAAAATATTTATTATTTTAATAATTATAATGATGATTATTTATATTAAACAAAAATTATAAATTACATATATAATACTTATAAAGATTAATTATTATTATAATAATAAGATATAATAGATAACTTTTAACTTATAAATTATTATAACTAAAAGAATACATAACTCCTTTCAAAAAAATAAAAAATAAAAACACATAACTTGAAGAAAAGATTTTATTTTTTAGGATGTTGGTCGGGCTTGTCCAAGATTTTTATCGTTTGGCTTGGTCCAACCCGACACATATTTAATTAGGCATTGATAAATGTATATAATAACTTTGAACTAAAGAAATGATGAAAAAATACTTTTTAAAATTTTTTCGTCCAGGCCAGCCCAAGAATTTTATTGTTTGGTCAGATCACGCCAGAGTTATATTTAATCAACCATTGATAAATATAATGAGTCTAAACTAAAAAAATTAAATAAAGAAACTTAAATGTTTTTAATTTATTTAGGTTATGGGTTGCTCCAGGGTAAGATTTTCAGTTCTCGTAATTGTTCCAACCCAACCAAACCCATATTTTAACTAGACTAGTTTGTTCCAATTCAAATAATTACCAAATAGATGACGGGCTAACCAAGTAGTTGAGTGCGAGATAGGAATCTAAAAAAATGTCTTCGAAGTAAAACTCTTGGCCGGAATGTATTTTCTGTCAAAATGAATTACTTTTCCTTTGACTCTAATGAATATTTTTTATTGATAGTCAAAGAGTAAATAAAATTAGACTTGACAAGTCATATTATATTTTAATTTGCAAACCTGTATATTAGAGATCTGTAACCTTTCATACTAAGGATTGCATAATATGGTCGGCTGTCGAGCACAGTTCTGTTAAATGGCAAATCATCTCTGCATTGCACCCACTTTTCAATGCTTCCCTGTATCCACAATTCAAGGACAAAAAGTTTTCAGAATTTGCTGGGTAAAATCTTAGAGTAGTAATTTTAAACTTGATTTATCATTTTTCGAAAATATGAATTAAATAATTTTTTTCCCGATAGAAAATCAACATACTAATTATATTACTTAATTTGAATTTTTTTTAATTATAAAATTTATTAAATATTTTTAATATGAATTAAATTAATTAAATTTGAGTTTTTTCCAGTACTATATATTTTTGAGAAAACTCTCATCATACTAGAGAAAACTCACAATATTTTCAACCTAAATATATATCAATAGATTTGGA